ACTTGCTGATGAGCCGCCACCGGCTCATCCGCACCCCCAAGCCCCGCCCCGTTAAGATAGAAGTCCTGCGGGTCCGTATCCTGGGCCGTCTGCTCCCACGTCAACCCCTGCTTCTTGATCAATTTCTGGTTCTCCGTGGGCCAGAACGTGCAGATGATGTAGTACATCACGAATGCGGTCGTGAAGGATAGGATCCACCCGAGATCGCCCATGCGGGTCGCGGTTATGGAGACGCTGGCGCCGAGAGAGCCGACGAAACCTGTACAGGTAATTATTAATATCTGGTGAGTTATGGGAGATGAAAGGATAAACGTACCAGGGAATGGCAGCGCAATGGCAATGATGTATGCGATCACGGCTTGGATGTTCCACCCGCCGTAGTATCGGTAGTTTTTGTTGAGTTTCGTGCCGTCATACAGGGATGAGAGGAAAATGTTGCCTTTAGCGAAGCAGAAGTCTATAGTTCATTAGTATGTTTTGGCCATTTGGAGGTGTAGAGGAGGGAGGGAAGAGGGACGTACACTCGCACACCATGATGGCCACGACAGCACCCATGAACAACGCATATCCGGACAAAAAGTCCTCGAACTTCGTCGCCGACGTGAGAATCTCCCATGGCACGACGGCCCACGCGAGCGTCTGCACGATGTACTGTCCGCGACGCATGTTGATGAATCGGGGGAACAGCATGGAGGAATCGGCACCGAAGGAGATCATGTTGGCCGCGATGTTGGTTCCGAGGATCTGTACCAGCCAGGCAAAGGCCACGAGGAACACGGCAAATCGGGTCGTGCCGGACCAGTAATGGTCCAGGATGAATTCCATCATGTCCCATTGGTTCCTACTTCATTAGCAAGGATCGAAAATATTAGGTATTTGGCAGAATGGCGTACCAGATGTCGGTGCCGTATTTGTTGTTGATGGCGGCTGTCGCCAGAATACCCAGACTCGCCGAGAGCGTCACCGCGATCGGGTTCGAGAGCAACTGGGTCCAGAGCGGGGCATTGCGAGTTTTAGTCCAGCGGCAGTAGTCGGGTTGGTTGGTGATCAACGTGGCCGTGTTACTGGTCTTATTAGTCTTCTGTCGGTGTGCCAAGGATTCCGAGAGGAATGGCTTACCCCAAGCCACTGTTGATTCCCGCAATAATCATCCAGGCGGTTGCTGTCGTGGATCGTGCCTCGGCCGTGTACATCGTCCCCAGCTGACCCTTAGTGTTGGCCATGGCGAAAATGAACAATCCGAACATGGCGGGCAGGGAAATGAAGGTCTTGAAGATGAAGAACTTGCGCAGCTGGTAGGGACGGAAATGGCAGAAGGGCAGATGCACCAGCCAGCAGAGGAAGAAGGCCAGCATCTTCTGCGTGGTGATACCTGCGCTGGATGGGATGTGGTTGGGGATGTCGGTGTAATGGTGACCGAAAATCGCCCGCAGAATGTTGTACATGTATTCGGCGCCAAAGTCCACTGCAAGGGTCAGAATGAGGCGTTCATCATTTGAAGCGGTTCGTGACAAGCAACTGTCACATACTCTGAATGGCAAACCACACGATGGCCAGCACCGCTCGTGCACCGACAAAGTAGTAGCTCCCCCACATGCCAAACACGCTGCGCCCGACGCAGGGAAATCCAAGGTGATATACACTGGCGGCGCGCGAGTTGAATGCCATGGCGACGGACGAGATGAGCTGGGAGACGAAGATGACGACAATCGACTGCCACCAGTTAAGACCGATGCCGATCATGGTCTACAGAATCAGTATACCATCGAAATAAAAGCCTAGCAGAAAGGACCAAAAGCATACCGATCCCAAGGTCCAGTTGGTAAAAGAGATGGACCAGTAGAACGAGACATAGTTCCACCAGCGCCAGGCTTGCATCATTAGCACTGGCATGAGCAGACACTGGGTCAAGTTCAAGACTTACTGCACTGCTCCGGAGGAGTGGGAAGCAGATCTGCAGAGAAGGTAAGTTCCAAGTCGCGTGCCGCGCGCAGCAGCTTTCATAGCTACTTGAAAAGGGTTTGCCGACCTTCGTTGGACCAGCGCGAGTCCTGGCTGGATTCCAGCTCGAGGGCGGAGACCACCCGACTGCCAAACCTGGCCATGATGTTGAAACTATGGACCAGTAGGAAAGACAGAGGACGCAGTGTATCGACCCCGGCCACCTAAAGATTGAAAAGAGGTCGCATGGTGCACGGCAGCTGCAGGATTTTATTCCGCGGGGGCGTGGCGCCTGAGCACGCGGCGGGCAAAGATTTGCACCCACACTTTAACTGTGAAGTGATAAGAACAGCAACCAGTGGGGAATGCCTAGAGATAGTGGTGGAGAATTCTTATTTTTAACTATCTTATTGGTTATATGCCTCCCCTCCTTCACGCCGCTGGTGATAAGCTCTGAGATGGCTGGAACCAACCTTTGCTGGAAAGAGTATAGCAAGAGAGGGTAAGGTTGTAACCCTATTTGTCTCGAGGGTTTATCTTAGTCACCTTCGTCCAATCACGGCATCTCCATGCTCCGACGCTATACCCAAACAAGGTGTCAGCCCCGTTCACGAGGCTGTTCGGGTCATCGTTGTTGCGAATTTTTCTCTTTCTTTCCCTTCTTTGCCCTTCTTTTCCTTTTCAACGAGGATCTCCCGGTCGTGGGTCTACAGTTTAATATTCCAGTGGGGACGGAGCAGTTGGGCTGGTTCCTCGGTGAATGGCCGAAGAAAAACGGCCATACCTGGATGAGAACATGCCATGCTGCAGGCTACTAAAAGTAGTGGCATGATGGGGTCGGTGATAGGCTCGGCTGACGTTGAGATAAATACTATCTGGAGTGACACCTACCGGTTCAAGATACTAGCAGCAGCTAACAATGAACGGCGTCGAGCATGGAAGCTCTCGAAGCCTTGCTGGAACACCAGGGTTTTTGGAACACTGGCTAATATGGATGGGTGGATTGGTTGGTTCCTCGTCCACCAATCACTGTGGCTATAAAGGCTGTCGGTCAAATCTGCCGGACCAGACCAAAGGAGCAATGCAATGAATGGCTGGAGCCTAGAGCGGACGACGGAGGATTCAACCCCGATGGCAGGCGGGATAACCGCCGACTATCGCCAGTTTGCACACAGACAGTTTTCATATCAGCCGCGATATCAACTGAACGGTCAACACTACAACCAGTATAGTTGTTACTGTCAATCAGATGTTGTTGGGTTCAAAACACTGCTGCTAATTGCATCTCTTTCGGCGTGATGCTCCCTATCTAGTAATAACTGCCGACTGTAAAGGCAGACAGTCACTGTCTGGCATAGCCAACAGTGGCGACGCTACTCTGCTGCAACGTTACAGCATCAGCAGTGAAGTTACTCGCTTAGGAGGACGCTCAGGCACTTGTACGCGCTGTGACTGAGACGTGACCTCATGCCAAGCACGGTCAAACTTTGCTTCCCCATAGACTGTCAGTCAATACATGTGGACCTTCAGTCTGTCGTATTGCTTTGCCCAAGGGATTATTGTATTGAAAAAAGGTTTGATCGGAGAATAGTTAAGATGAAGAAATCAAAGAGTGCTTTGAATGAATGGGTGTCAGGATCAAATGATTTTCCGGTGCCCGCCACTAGTCCATTTCCGGGTTCGCTCAGGGCACGCCGCCAGGAACCCTTCCGGACCCCCCTTCCAAGAACTTAGGGATCCGGTCGGGAATGCCTTCAACTCTCCCAGAGATGAACCCAGCTGATCGGGGAGTCTCTGGCCCTGTTGCACCAGTCTCAGAACGTATACAGATGGAGTCACCCACCATCTTGCTGCCTAATGTCTCCTGGACCTCCTGAATTGATACGTCCATCACCTCGGGTGGCCGATAATTATGTAGTACGCATTTCTTTGTGTGCCTCCGTAGTCAAATACCGATCAACAGGCTCCCCGAAACGAGGCGGCACTAGCCATGGGGGTGGTGATAGATCCTGTTCTATCGCCGGGTCTAGATGGCGGCAACCCGGTGTGTACCTGGTGGTCACTCCCAGTACCTCTACTTCCGACCCCATGATCATGTCGCTGCATTACTTTCTTGACTAGATGATCCCCAGATTTACACCTCACGATATCATCTGCATATCCTCGGAGATATCATCTCAAGCAGATCAATTTTGAACCTGCGTCTTTGGGTAGGTGAGCAGCGCGTAAACTCCGATGATTCCCTCAAGACAGGACAGACAGTACCTGCAAGAACCAGCGTTAGCCCACCAGCTGACAGTGGCGGTCCCTCTCTGCTCCTGGACCAACTGCTCATTTCATATAAGCTCAAGGACCCCAAATGCAGGCATAGTTCATGACGCAACGACGGATCCGCCAACCACAGGAAGCGATTCACGCTCGCGTATGGCCCAAATGTTGGGTCGGTTTGGAATCCTGCAGCGAGGTGTGGAAATTGGACGGGGCCATCCGCGACGCGGTGGGGAACATTCCCAGCGGTATGTCCAGTGATGGTAGAAACAGAAGGGACAAGTAGGACACTTCATTTCCAAGGTAGTTATTCACCGTTGACCTGTCTATCCACATCAAAGTATACGGGATAGTTAGTAGCACAATGTACTAGAAACATGATATATCACTAGCAAACGGCCGTTCTGAAACCATCTGCTACCCGCAACCCCGAGCGTTCTTTTAGTCCGAGCGGATCGTGTAATTTCCAGCGACGCCCCCGTCATTCCCCAGATCGCCCAATCACCACCACGAATGCCACTTAATGGCCAAACTGCCTATACCCTGCAATCTCCACCCGATCCAGCATCTCACCGGTTCGTGCTCGAATCGGATCGCCGCCTGGTGTTTCACCTAAAATGTCCGATGGGGGGCGCCATCATTTCCAGCGCCAAAAACCTGTCATCTCATCTTTCATTCATTGTCCCTCATTCATTCCCTTCGGGGGCCAGTATATAACCCTTCAGGGCCCCATCCAGCTGGTCTTGGATGGTTTGGTGTTGACTCCCAGCTTCTGGAAAGCCTGTCGCCCCATCTTTCGTTTCCCAACTTTTCGTCATTCCTTTATTGATTCTCAAGACTTTACCGCCATGTTCGGATCTACTTCTCGCCTCATCCTGGGGATGCTCAGCTGTGTGGCCCTCCTGCCCAGTCAGGCTTTGGCGGCACACCAGCACGTCGGTCACCGTCATCATCATCCCATCAATCCCACCCAACAACCTCAGCCCAGCACCCTCATCACTATCGCTCAGGGCACCGCTCCTACTGAAGCCCCTTCCGCATGCTACTGGGCTCCCTCTGCAGTATCCTCAGTAATTGCCTCCGCCTCCGCCTCTGCCGCCGCGGTAGTCGAGAGCAACATCACCGCAAAGGTCATCATCCCATTCTACGTCTATCCCGAAGCTGGCGCCTGGACCCCCATGGAAGAACTGTACGTTGTGATATCATGACTATAACATACCAACTTACTAACCTCCCCAGCGTCGCGGCTTTCCCGAACGTCCACTTCACCATCATCATCAACCCTGACAGCGGTCCCGGCTCCAGCAGTCTCCCTGACAGCAACTTCCTGACCGCTGTTCCCAGGCTCACCAGCTACAGCAACGTACTCGCCATCGGATACGTCCCGACAGAAAAGGGCACCCGCTCCATTTCGGATGTCGAGAGCGACATCAAGACTTACGCCGGCTGGCCCTCCGCCTCCGGTAACTCCTCCTTCGCCGTGCACGGCATCTTCCTCGACGAAGCCCCCAACGCCTACAGCGAGGAGTTGGTCTCATACTACCAGCAACTCGCCAATCTCATCAAGGAGAGTTCCGGCCTGGGACCGGAGAACTTTGTATGTCTCCTTCCCATCTATCCCGATTTTCCACCACCCTGCATCCCCGGTAACTAATGAATGATATGTATAGGTCGTGACCAACCCCGGCACAGTCCCTGACTCGGCCTACCTCACCATTCCCGACTCCACCGTGGTCTTCGAGTCGCCCTACGACTCGTTCCTAAGCGCCGTGTCGGAAGACTCATTCTCTGCCATCAGGGGCGGGAATCACAGCGCGCTGGCTACGATGGTCTACTCCGTTCCGGATACCGTGCATCTGCCGACTCTCATTAGCCAAGTTGGAAATATCTCCGACCAGATCTTCCTGGGGAATACGAGTTCGTATACCGTGTATAACTCGTACATGAACCAGGTGATTCCGTTGTTGTTGCCTGTTTCTTCTTGATGTGGATGGTGGCTGGCTGTCGCAGGGCGATGGGTTAGATAGATGATGCTGTGTTTCAATTCTTGTCTCTCGTTTATTTCACCGTTTATGTATATAGCTGTGTATGTTGTGGAACAATGTGCAAAATTTTTTCTTCCAAGGGTGTTTATTATATGTTGGTAGGCTACAGATTAGGCTGTGGTTGAAGATACAGTCAGTGTAGGTAGGCCGCGGCGCCACCCGTGGGAATTCTTCAACTGGGCTGAGACAGTTTCATCCCTACAGTAGGATAGGGATAAAACATGGCCAACAAATACTTCGAAAATATCTCATATACAACCATTTCATTCCCGTTAATTTATATTCATATAATATATACATAGTAAAGTATTCCATCGCCTAGCTTCCACCATGAACTTAGTATGTAACCTAGTGCTCAATGGTCAGCCCTCACTCCAACATAAAAGAAACATTATGATGAGCAGAACATACCGCAATGTAGGTAGTAATAACTTAGATAATATCACCAACAGCGGCATCTACATCCGCACCAACGCTGGCTGCTGCATCTGCAGCGCCCGAGACCACCGCGCCGACATCGATGTCGATGGGGTTGGCGGTGGCGAAGACGGCCAGGAGGGAGAGGGCGGAGAGGAGGATGAACTTCATTTTGGTATCTAATCGGAGCTGTCAGTAAATTTATCTCAGCTTGATAGAAGTGTATATTGATACACATACGGTGGTGGTATGTAAGGTGGTATAAGGTGGGTTGGATAAGTCGTGTAGGTGTGAGAGGTAGAGAGGTAGTAGATGAGAATGATGGTAGATAATCTGAAGACCATGAAGGTCAATTTATATCTTTCTCTACAACAATATTATCCCAGTCTCTCTACAATACTCAACGATGAGAAGGGAGTCTAGAACCATGTCATTGATGGATGCTCTACATACATGGTTAAGATCCAGTCGATCGGAGATAACCATTTTTGAGGGGTTGCGGGGACCCATTTTTGGGTTTCTCGGGTGGCCGGGAGGCCGACCGTTGAGATAGCCGTTGATCGATCTGGCGGTTGCTTTCAGATATATTGAAACAGGGTGTTTAACTAGTGGTAGCCTACTACCTAGTAGAATCATTATTTTATATGGGTGTGATAATATTTACATCAGATGGTGCTAAGGTCTAAGTAATTAGGCCAGATTGGGTAAAAAAAAAAAAAAAGTGACGAAGAATAGCTCGACTGTCCGCTCACAGCGATTGCCCGTGTATTGTAGGTTCCAGATCTTATGTACTGAAGGCTGTAGTATTATTGTATTGTGCACTTAGCCCTAATCAAATAATGGATCTCATATCGGCTGCCTTTTCCACCTGAATTCAAGATAGCCATCGGCTATGCCACGGCTACATCTGCGTCCCTATATCTCAACCACGGTTCCGTCCGGGTCAGGGGAACTTGACTACGTTCTAGGCGTTTACGTGATCGACTGCATTTTCGACCTGCCATTGAACCAAGGTACTGGCTAATCGTATTTTTATGACAGATGTTGTGGTTGGTTGATAAGTACTCTGCTCTAGATGCATTCTGTTGATGGTTGGTTCAGGACACGTACGACGCTGGACGAACCAGACTTCATCCCAGTTTTGATAGCAGACTACCGATCGGAGATCTCACAATTCAAATTCAACTCGCTCAAATCAGGGCATGTCGCTCAAATAACGTTCTCAGTCTGCAGATCCGCTGATCATATCCTGGCTAGCTTGCGGAGCACACTTCCGACCGGCTTGGCTGGCGTTAATGTTCATCGAGAAATAATGCGGTAATGGCTAACGGTATATCCCATCACCCTGGACATAGGTCTACTGGCTTACATCGGGGATACTGGCTTCATGTTCCAACACAGCTGGGTGCTTCACACCTCCAACTCGCAGCTTTGCCCAATCTCTCTCCACGCCCTCCTCGATGTCCGGGTATGGGCCTAGCGGTGTGATCGCCTTAGGGTTGATGTGCCAGTGGCTCTTGGTATACTATTGCAGTTAGCACATATTCTCCGGGCGAATTTAGATGACTCACATTCTCCTTGATATGCTTGAAGTCCGTAGTGTCCCTCGCAGCCTTCACATCCCAATACATCCCCTTGAGCCAGTTATGCAGCACCGGATAATCGTGACGGATGGTCCCCAAATTACACTTGAAGTGCTCCACATACACCACGTCGAACCGAATCAATGTCGCATACAGCATCACATCCAACTCCGTGATCTCCTTCCCTAGCACAAACGGGCCTCCGTTCTGCGCGACAATGCGCTCGAGCTTGTTCAGTGCCCCGAATACCCGAACCACATTACGGTCGTATTCCTCCTGCGTGTCTGTGAATCCGGCCTTGTACACACCCGAGTTCACGTCCGATTGCATCCACGGACTGATGGCGTCGATCTTTGCTTGCAGATGGCTAGGGTAGAGGTCGATTCCCGCCAGCGATGACGGGATCTGGGAGTTGAATGCTTTGGGGAGCCAGCGGAGCATTTGTAGACTTTCCTAGATTTGGCACAACTGTCAGTCTTTGTAATGAATCACCATCTCAACACAAAGATAGGTAGCATACATTACAAACTGCCGTCCCCGTCTTCGTATCCCATAAGAGCGGCACCGAATACCGTCCTTTATATTCAGGATCCGCCCGAAAATATACCTTATGCAGGTAATCCTCTCCGTATAGATGATCCACCGTTGACCCGGGGTACTCGTCGTCCGATTCGGGGAACTTCCATCCCGGCCAGCCTTTGAGATCTCCCTTCGGGTACGCTCGCACAACACTGGTTTTGATGATGTCGGTGAGGCCCTTGAGATGTCGGACAAAGTTGACGCGGTGAGCAAATGGGCAGAAGTGTCCGATGTACAGGTGGTAGCGGTCGGGTTCGGCGGGGAAGTCGGTGCTCGGGATGATGCCGTGCCAACTATCGGCGGTACCCGCTTGATGGATGGTCATTGTGGTGGTGATGTTGATATTGGAGGTATTTGATGATAGTTTCGGGGATTCAGTGGGAGAAGAAGAGTGAAGAGGAGAGTATCAGGAATGCTGCAGGGACAGTTGGCAATGCCATCATCTGAGGGCTCAACTATGCGGGGTCCGGAGCAATTCCGCACTGGCGTCATGCTGGATTCGTCATCATTCTTGAAGTAACTAACTAGTTAGTTATGCAACTATGCAACTATGCAGCCATGTAACTAATGCTGTGCCAAGGCTGGCCACGTGGTGGGGATATTCTATCTCAGATATTTGCTTGCAACTATATCGACTATCCCCTGTGTACTAACCTTTAAAGACCTGGTTCATGCTTGGCTCGGATTGTGTCGTCATCTGGGCTGATAGTACTATGCTTGGCAAGATCTGCAACATCTGGGTCCCGATATTTATTATCATTTTACTCGGATGAAAAATACCCTAAACCACACTCAACAATTTGTTTGTATATTACTTTTGCAGGGTTTGGTTTTCTCTTGACGACCACCATTGAGGGGCCATTAATCTTTCTAAAACCAACAGGTGAATTCATGTGACATCTCCTGACAGCAACTCTTGACCACGACCAACTGACTTAAATTTAGTGCAGACATTTATCAGGGATAATATGCTTTGTTAGCGTTTAAATACCAAAAGCACAGCTGCTACGCTCCAGCTACTTTGCTGCTGACCACTTGAACCTCAACACCCGGCTTACCCGGACACAATCAGTGGGGCGCTATCAAGCTCCATTAATCTCACAGCTTAGACTATCTCCGAGGGCAGTGCGAGCTTCACGCACCAACTTTCTCCAACAAGGATCGATCGATCGCCGTAAAGCATGCCCGATATGGCCCCGCTAAGCTGCTGTCAGACTAGGCCACCCGCTAAGCCACTCGACTGCGACCGCAACGCGGCCTAATATGAACTTTTTAGCAGCATTGTGCTGAAGAGAATGATCCAATTCCCACTCAGTCATGTTGGGGGCGAAACCTAGTTCCCCCTTTATCAACAAATCGAGGAAATAAAACCAGGTAGGTAACCGACCCGGTTGACAATTCCTCACACAGAATCTCTACCAGTTCACTGAACCTTTATCATCATGAACCGGTACCTGTCTATCCCCCTGTGCTTGGCGAGCGCTGTTCCTGCGCTAGCGGGTCTGGCGGCCCGCGACCCCATTGGCACCATCTGCACCAAGAACAACATCATCACCACCGACGACTTCATCCTCTACAACAATCTCTGGGGTGAGGATTACGCTACTTCTGGCTCGGAGTGTACCTACCTCGACTATGACAGCGGCAACTCCATCTCGTGGCAGACGTCGTGGACCTGGGCCGGCGGTGATGACTACGTCAAGAGCTATCCCAATGCCGTCTTGAACGTCGGTGCCAAGCAGCTGAGCACGATCACCACGATTCCTTCTACCTGGAAGTGGAGGTGAGCCAATATCCCCTACCACCAATTAAGCTACTGTCTAATGATGATTTCAGTTATACCGGCGACGACCTCGTCGCTGACGTCTCCTACGATGCCTTCCTGGCCACCACGGACTCCACAACGGCCACCCACGAGTATGAAATCATGATCTGGCTCGCCGCCTACGGAGGCATCGAGCCCATTGGAAACTCGGACGGTCCTATCGCCAGTCCCACTATCGGTGGCCACACCTGGGATCTCTACGAGGGACCCAACGACTGGACAGTGTATAGTTTCGTGGCCCGCGAGACTATCACGGACTTCTCGGCGGATCTTATGGAGTTCTTCACTTATCTAGTTGATAATGAGGGCGTCTCGTCGAGCTTGTATCTGCAGACTTTGGGTGCGGGTACGGAACCGAAGACGGGCTCTGATGCTTGGTTCACGGTTGCGCCGTACACGATTAGCATCAACACTTAGTAGTTGAGGTAGATTGAGAGTTACGGCCGAGTTTTGTGGCGGGGGAGAAATGGTGAAGGCCCTAAAGATATAAGTGACCAAGTTGATGGTGCTTCATCACCAGATAGACATTAATATCGTCGATTATGAATATTGAGAATCTTAATGGGGCAACAGTAGTCGGAAGTTATACTGCTTGTACTGGTAGAAGTCAGGATGGAGTCTATCGCTGCAGATTCCCTGTGGTCTCGCGGGACTGCTATCCTGTTGCATTGGTAGCTGTGAATCTGCCGCGTAAGATACCAAAAGAAAATGAAATGAAGAGTTGGAAAGGGCGTGCATCATATCATCAGCGGGTGATCGAGAAAAAAAACCCAAAAGAAATGTTGAGCTCCGATAGGGGGAATCGAACCCCCGGCTGCCGTGTGAGAGACGGCGATGTTAGCCACTACACCATATCGGATTACTTGTTTTTCTTCATCTTTTTCTGTTCCTATAATGCTAAGATAAGCTGTTGTCACGTGGCTTCCGATCGCATCGTTTCAAATAACTTCCTCACCTTCCCTCCATAGTAGTGTACTTTATATACCCACCCCATCGTCATCATATTCGAACTGAGTTTCATATGTATTTGCTCAACACGTTACTATAGTATATGTTCGGTCTGAGAGCTACGATGACAATTGTTCAAACCCACTACTTTGTGAAAATAGTCTTGCTCCTATTGACGCTCGAAACATATATTTACTACATCGGGCATAAGGGATTTAATTCCTCAGCATAAACTCGATCGAACAAGACGGTTTCTATGCTTACAATTGCTATAGATACCTCGAATTCAGACTTACTACGAGAGAAAAAATCTTTAATAGGTATGGCCAATTTGTCGCGCCACCATTAGCCAGCGAGTTACAGGGAGTTATTCAGCATTGCACAAAAAGCACCGTTTCTGCAGGCTGGAACAGCAACATATGATCGGGAACTTGAAATATGTTAGTTGAACCATGTATGGTATTTACTTCCTACACACCCAGTTCACAACGTCATTAGCAGCGCTCGAGACCGCGTGTGTAGCCTATTTGCGGCCTCTTGCAGCTAAAATTCCCGCAGAGCACCTGAGACGTCAGCCCGAGCAGGATTACGAAGGTCCTAGAGATGAGGTCCGGGAGCTGAGAGCTAACCATCACCGTCCTTCCGCGATTAGATAGTCTTGTTACACAGATGTCAGCCTGATTCTCAGCAATCACCCCCCTATTCTAATCCGGACGGAGTCGGATTTGTCGGAGATTGACCCTGGGTCAAGACCAATGGCATATGTTCTTCGTCCTCGTTGAGGCACTCAAGGCGCACGTCGAACTAGTGAACCGGGAATATACCAGATTTATGTCAAGGCATTGGTTTTCTTTGGTGAACGCATCGGTTCTCGTGCATTCGACATTGGCCAGCAACCAAAACCCCTGGAATTAAATGTTGACTGCAAGTACAGCATGCACTATAAGCTGGACGACAGAAAGATGTACGACTCAGTTATCAGGATTTCCACAAGTCAATCTGATTGCAAGAGAAAATTGCGTGCTCATCGATCTGATACTGTTGGTCATACCCGACAAGTCATGGCTAAGTAGAACTGTTCGAGTAAAAGCATTCGGTATACTATACCGGCATCCCGACCGCCACCATGACACGGAGAAAGGTTAAATGGTGTGCTATAGCATTGAGACAGCAAGCGCATCCATCCTTGACATTGGGATGGCTGGCTGAGCTGCCCGTATGCCGCTGACTCAGCGGTAATCAAGAGTTGACAGACAATGCTGCACCTCCATCCAGCCTATCCATGGCGGTGCTGCGAAGAGGAGTCTCGGATAAGGGCGTAGTAAAGTTGTAGCTGCTGCCTGCCGAGGTATGCTGCAGTGGCAGGGGCCATCTGCTGACGGAAATGGCAACACCCCTCATATGTCATTGCTATTTGTGTTCACTCAATGGAGCACAGGCATTCGCCTGTTTCCTGGCCTTCCAAATAGGATCACAGGCCTGAAGATCTAGCTATTACGAGAAGAAACGACCCACTCATGCACTTGGAATCACCGCAGTCTGATTTCAAATCCATGTCGTCGTTGGCCTACGTCATCTTATCACTACCCCTCCCTTTGGCTCACAGTAACTTCTGAGAAATTGGCGCCTGTTATTTGAGTGGACCCTACAACCCCAAAAAAGGATGTGAAGCCATAGGAATGCGGTAATAAATGGGAACCGTATATTGGGCTACCAATCGAACCCCAGGCGAAAGCCAAGAAGAAGCTACCGCTTCTGCCACTGAATAAGACAGAGGGCGTGTCAAGTGTAACCTCCCTTGTCAGAGTTATCGAATGTCCTGGCCAATCTGCTGATGGCAAGACTCGGTACGATGGAGTATAATAGTGTAGCCTCATTGACCTTTGTCATGCACATTCTACAAGCTGGGATATTTTCGCTCTTTTGGTGCACACATTGTTGGTGGCTCAAAAGGTGGTAGAATTTCCGGGACAGGGACATCGAAGTTTGACGGAAAAGCGCAACCTAGCTAAAACACTCATGAAGCACAAGAAAGTATGACACTCACCTTACTGATATCGTCCTACTATACACTAACGGCGATATCCCAGAACCGCGGTGAAGATGCCATGCCAGACTTGGCGTGTACCAGATGCCGAGAGCGCAAGATACGCTGCGGCCGGGAACGGCCTCATTGTCATAACTGCGAGAGAGAGGGCGGTGTGATGTGCCTGTATCGGATTCCTTCCAAACGCGTAAATCACCTCAAGTTATTGTCAGTGAATCTCTTTGGCTAGCAAGGACAACGATCGCTAATCATGCTATAGGTGCGGTAGCATTGAACGACTGCAGGATCGATTGACGAAAATCGAGTCTCACCTTAGTCGACTCCAAGGTCTTGGCCCCCGGACTCCAGGGTTCGAAGAGGACCACGAATCATCACAACCAAGAACCTTGCTAGAGGATGTATCTGCAACAAGTAGTTGCGTTGATATTGACAATGAAGAGGAGCACAAGCAGGAGGTTTCCGGGATACTTGCCCCTAAACAGTCAAAATTTTACTTTGGACGCTCATGCGTTGCTGCTCTGTGCGAAAACCTCAAGGTAAGGGTTCAGTCGGTACCCCACGCAACAGGGCCTATATGGCGACCTCTCTGCGAAATGTTGCAGCATTTATGCGAGATCACAAAAGTATCGGAACCTATCCCATCGTACAGTGACCGACTCGTCGTTCCACTGCTGCCTAGGCAGCAAGCTACCACCGCCATAGATCGGTTCCTCCAGAACCTAGACTGCCAGACCGATGTCTTCGTACCGGACAATCTAAGGGCCAACCACCAGCGCCTGTACTCGCAGCATCAGCCGCAGCCCGATGATGCCGCGTGGGGCATATGCTTCCAGACCATTACCCTGCTGGCCCGGGTCACATCCCAAGCTACGCAGGGATTGCTTGAAAACTTTGTGCATTCCTTTGTCCCCAGCCGGGCGGTAGTGGTTTGCCCCGGTCTGCTAAATACGCCTAGACTCTTAAACGTGCAGGCTTTGCTTCTCCTCGTATGGTAGTAGACTTAGGACCTTCTGGTGTGCAGAACTGACATTGAATATGTAGAGTGTTGCGGCACAAACTTTCGACTATTCTGGATCGGCAGAGTTGATATTCGCCCATGCGTGCACACTGGCGCGAATCTTAGGTTTGGATTGCAGCCAAGCTTCAGACCACGGCGACATTGAACAGGTCGAACGAGGCAAGGTACTTCGAGCATTGTACATCCGTGATAGAAGTTTGTATACGCTTCGTGGATCAGTGCTTTGGATGCCCTGTGACGAATATAACATCGCTACTCAGTTGTGTGCAACTAGTAATGAGTTAGGGAAGCACTCAACCCGGCTCCATCTAGCCATGGTGCAGGAAGACATATACCGACTGGCTCAAGTCGGCTCAATTCCCGCGAACACACATGACAGCCAAGAACTGCTGATGCGCATTGAAAAGCAGCTTGATGAGTATGGTCGAACATTGTATTTTTTCCACGGCCAAAACGCTCCGTCAGAATGCTGTGGATCCCATGCTATAGATACGATGGAGTTCTTAGCAACGCGAATCCTGGCGTTTCAACATGGACAGGAATCATATCACACGCGACAAATTCAGCAAGATGCGCGGTTGAGCTGTTTGCTTTTGCTGATAGCACACGGTGACCAGGATCCGGCCATTTCATACTGCTTCAACGTTTCGTTAACGGGAGGAAAAACCACACCAAATGGCAACCATCAATCTCATTGTTTCCCTAAAGTGTCATTCACGAGTGTGTTAAACGCGTTCTCCGTTCCCGCCTTTTTCATTCTATTACAAGATCTTCTCATGTCGCGCCCGAGTGAAACTCCAGCTGGCATGATATCCGACTTGGATTTGCTGCGGCGGGTGTCAGCTTGCTATACCGATCATGCCAGTCAAATGCCGGCAAATACGTACCACCAAAAGATAGCATGGGTATTTTCACAATTGATGTCTTTGGTTCGCGTTGTTGTGGACGCACGTTTGGGCTGTCATTTTATTGACTCACCTCGGGCCCCTGCTCAGAATGACCTGCCCAGTCCCCCATACTGGCCTGTGGCTCAGCAATCAACCGCCCCTTTATACTGGGAGAATTGGCTCAGCGGTGCACCATCGCTGGTACTGCCTTCCCTTGGACCTGTGACGCCGCTCGGGACATGGAACGCTGGAACCCCGGCCCTGGACGGCGAAGGGTTGATGACGTGGCCAACAGCTAGCGGGAGGCCGCCTGTGGCACTGACAAATTCACATTATGAGCAGGTAGGTGATGCTGGAGATAGGGATGCACTGTAAGATGATGCCTGTAGATTGTGCTTGCCGCTTGTCCTCGGAGCGGACGTACTTCCAGGCGCTTGTCTGAGGCTGGTGGGCGATGACGATTTGCAGTGACCGCTCAGCATAACTGGCATGGCTAGGCATCGTCTAGGCATATATACATTCGGCTAGACTGCAATCATACCTCTGTT